TGCTAGTCTGCTCGTTTCCGGTCTCGGTACAAATTTCGACGTAGCTTTTTTGCCGTCAAACTCATTCTCAAATTCAACCCAGTTTTACTCAGACTTTCCTGATGACCACTGTTCCTGTTTTCAGTCAACTGACTGTTCAGTACCGTCGAGTGTCTATAACGAGTCCGAAGTTTTCTTAGTAAATGCTGCAGTTTTTGTTATGCCTGGTATTGAATGTGGATGTCTAATCAGCTCTTCGGCAATGCGGTCGAATTTGGAATGTTTTTATAATCAGTCCTGTACTGATATATCAAAAACGTTTATGCAATCTATTTATTCTTTGAATGTTACAGCAATGAATTCGTCAGCACCCAGTCGGTATCATATAAATTCAACTCTAAATGAGATTGTTTCTCTCCTGATGGTAGAAGAGTGGAACGCAAATGCCTCTTTCTCATTTTATTACAAACAGTGTGCTCCTCAAGAATGTACATATACATATTCCGGTCATAATAATGTCGTTTATATTGTGACAACGGTCATTGGATTAATCGGCGGCCTGACAAAAGTGTTACAAGTTATTATTCCACCAATAGTTGAATTTGTGAGGAAAAAAAAGCGACCTAAACAAGAAGTTGCAGGTATGATATCCAACTTTTAGGAGACACCTTGAAACCCAAGTATGACATACTTATTTTCGTTTAGAACCATTTCTTTCTCAATGTAGGACACATAACGAAGTTTTGAGAGGCGTTCTTTTACCTGAAAACGTCTTTCTAAGGTTTACATTTGTCGATTGAGAAGTGTTTAGATCTCATGAAACCCTCAATTGTGCCTATTGTTGTCGGTCAAGCTGTCACATCTTTGATTAGTTTTTGCTCAGTTTTAGGATCAACACTAGTACAATCAAAATTTCGTATCTACTATGAAAAAGTCAAACATAAGGTAAAAACAATGAATATGTTTGCTCAGAAATTAACGACTGATGATGGTGAATTAAAGATTGAAGTAGCAGCCACACAGTTAACAATCGTTCTTTTGATCGTTTCACTATTCGTACTTGTGCTTTATACGGCAAGGCTGAACTTTACTACAACGATACACGTGAACAAACCTACTCTTTCAGTATACAACGATCTCTATCCAAAAGCGTAAAACGTTATCTTTTCAATCTAATTGCGTTCTCTTTTAAATTCTTGTCTCTGGGCTGAATCATAATTAAATCGAATTTTAATATGAGTACAGAAATTACCGTTGCGCGACATGCCATAGAATATCTTTCTATATTCTCACATTTGTTGAATTTTACAAACTCAAATTATTCAGACCCAATAATGTTTTTCAAATTAAAGGTAGAGGAAATTCAGAATCTAAGCCTATTTTATATCTGCTTATTCAGTTTTTAAAATAAAAGAATTACTTGAAAGGATGACACAAACAATTCTACTAAAGAAAAAGCACGTGCTTTCCGAAGCATTTGTCATTTCGTAGTAGGAAAACTGAAGTTAGCTTTATGTAACTCAAGACAAATTCTCCACAATTAAATCACTATTTATATAAGCATCATTGTGCTGTATCACTGGAATGTTCATGCGAAAGTGCGTCAGAAACTACAAATCAAACGAATACTTGAAAGCAACTGTTTACGATACAAGTTTTTAAATGTAAACTCAAAGGAATAAAACTTTTAATAAAGTTTTAATATGTAGCTCAAGCATTTTTATACGAGATCTGATTAGGGAAAAATTTTTAGCTTGAAAAGAAGATCAAGAATAATTATTAAATGTATCTCGTCTCTTTTCCGACCTTCTTGCCAATTGCGAAGCACACGTCCGATTGAGCTCAAATGTAAAGCAGAGATAGAACATCGACAAAGACAATAGACATATTTTTGCTCAGAATTTTATGAGATGTTCTTTAATGCATCTTCTGGAAAACTTCAGTTTTTATCCAGTCACATCACGAGTGGTAATTTACGACCTCTCAAAAAAACAGTCCGATCAAGGTCAAATTTTTACAACAGATACTTTAGACCTTATCCCAGGATATGAATTTTTCTTTTCGAAAAATATGCTTTCCTTTACGAAATATTGAAAAAATTATTAAAAATCCGGTAATAATCGGTTTTTGATCTGAAAACCTTCTCATATCGAAAGTTGAAATCTAAAATGCTTAGAAAATATTTACATCCTCAGAAAGGATCTGAAGTATATGACAAACATTTGAGTTATGCTTAATGTGACTGGACTGGAGCGACTATCGAAAAATGTGCAGTGAGAAAAAGACATATTGTACACACGGCTTTGTTTTTTAGGGCATTAGCATTGATGCTTATATCTTCACGAAAAATGATCGAAAACTGATAGAAAAATTTCGAATATATACGAAAGGCGAGAAAAATTTACGAAAGGAATATTTAGACTTTTCAGGCTTTGAAGGAAAAACTTAAAAGCTTCATAATTTTTCCAAGAAAGGTCATGGTGAGCAGGGTGCGGTCTCATTTTATAGACAGGCTTTTCCAGACATCAGACTATGTTCAGCTGAAAACGGAAAGTTGTTTGGTAATGTGTCTTTTAAGTTGGTAATGTGTCTTTTAAAATGTTAGAGCTCACGCGAAGTTGTTGGGCAAGCGTGGAAATAAGACGTGGTCCGAGCTGGATTTTCTGCTTTTGCAACTGTATCTGGTTTTTCTTCTAAAGAGTTAGC